CAAAATTTTATTTCAAGTTAAATTATAGGATTGCACTGATACTTCTCGCCTTTGCAAAACATTTAAAAGAACAAAAGAAAATGATCTATGTTGTCTAAACTTAGGATCACAGTGACGCATTAGGTGTTTAGCATACTTTTTAAGTAATAAATGTATTAACCTGCCTTCATGACCACCAACTCCATATGGATATAAAACTAAAAATCCAGCAGAAAAAAAGTCAAATCTTTATACTCATTCAAAGATTTATTATTATGGGGTACACAGATAATATGAGATTGTGAAAGATTCCTTTCTAATTCGTTAGAATTCTCACTTAAAGATGCTTGACTGCTAGAGTGTAAATTAGACTTGTCTAACAGCTTTTGAATAGAAATTAAAATAAGTTCTCTTTTAGTAATCAGTACATCATCAACATGTAATATTCCAGAGAGCCTGAGTTCGCTTGCACTATTTATTGAATTGTTAATAATAAAATTATGTTCATCATTATTAGATATTTCATCATCTTCACTTTTATTGTCAGATTGATGGTTATCTTGCATATAGCCAGTATAGTGTTCTATTTCATAAGAATCAAAGTCTACAACTGTAGTAGTTAAAAGTAATACCTCCTTCAGGTAGAATATCTAATGCACTTTTATCTATTCTAAATTTATCTTTGAATAATTTGTTATATACAAAAAGTAAATAAAGAGCAGCTGCTATTTTACTTTTTCAAACCTGAAGTACTTTTTTTAATTGATATTTAGTAGGTGATCCTTTTTAAACAAAAACAACATTTAAATAATCAGTAAGATAATTTATTAGCAAAGGCAATACAGTTGTTAGTGATTTAGAATTTTGTGATAATGTTACAATATGACTCTTAAACTTATGATGGGTATGTTTTTTGTTTGTTAACTGGATGAGATTCATATATAAATACACAGGTGAAATAAAGAGTTGTTCTAAAATAGTTAAATCCTGAAGACATAATGGAGTTGGTCCAATCCACATATTATTTGCTAAAGATAGCAGAGAGGTTTTATTTTTTTGTAAGTAATTATAACAGATATTACAAATTCATAAATAATGTGGATTTTTAGAATCTATATTGTCATTTTGATATTCAAATGGATATATAAAACTAGATTGATCAAGAAGTATATTCATTTTACAAGCATTAATACGGGGTGCTTATAGTTAAAATCAATTTCATATAATGGTTTAATAAGTTCATTTAGAGCTTTAAGTAAAGAAAGATCGATATCATGTATTGAAATTTTTTTATAATTTTTATAATTATAAAGTTCAGAGCAAATAGCACATGATAATTCTCGTAATTCATCAAAGCTAATATTATTATAAAATTTAGCTGACACACCTTTTGACAGTTTAGGATTTATCATTTGAGGCTATGAAGAATGACATTCAAGTGTAGTTTCAAATTCTTGGCAATCTCTATTATAAAGGATGAAACACCTGAATTTTCAACCTGAAGATTGATTGCAGTCTTTTTTGTCTTTAGGTGTTTGTTCTTCAGAGATAAATTAGATTTTTGAATATAATTTGGATCTTGACGAAGTTTTGCTATAGATTGTTTAGATCTATCATTTCTAGATTTTCTAAACTGAGGATCCTTATGCTGAGAAGCATCTCTTTCATGTTCTTTTCTTTTTCTAGATTCATATTGAGTTTCTATTTGAGACATAATGTTTTTAGAGTTAATATGCAATTAACCAAGATAGCAGTTTTCAAGGAGTTAAAAAGATCAAATTGTTTAAAAAATTTATTCTCAATACTAAATAGATAAATTATCATATATTAATTTCAAACAAACTTTTTTATACATTTAAGTCTACTATAATAATACAATTTATTATACCTTATTAAAGATCTATATTTTTACTGGATTCTTTTTTTCTTATTTGTTGTTGTGCTTATATTTTTGTAATATTATTTCTGTTTATGTTTATGTTATGTAATAGTTTCTATATGAAATTGATGTATTTAATTTCCTTCTAATTCTGTAAAAAAAAATTTTGGTTTTCATTTTTAGATGCTAACTAGCAGTCTTGCATGTCCTTACGGACGTGCAGTAAAAATAATTATTACTATACCATATTGCGGTCACCACATAAGTTATATTTTAGCAAATATTATTTAGCCTTAATATTTGTAGTTTTTTGATTATTTGCGGTCACCATATGTCATATTTTAGTGAATATTACTTAGCTTTGATATTTGTAGCTCCTTGATTATTTATTCACAAGATTTACAGCGCAATTAAATTTTTAACTTTAGAGAGATCAATTTATCTTGTAACAACATAAGGCAAAAAAAAACTTCAAATCCAGTTTTCTTGACAACATTCATATTTGTGTGTATGCATAAGCAAGCCAATCAGAATGTTTTTAACATGAGCACATCATAGAGATTTACCATATTGTGGCCACCACATAAGTCATATTTTAGTGAATTTTACTTAGCTTTGATATTTGTAGCTTTTTGATTATTTACAGTTATCACTGAGTCATATTTTAGAGAATATTACTTAGCCTTAATATTTGTAGCTCCTTGATTATTTATTTTTGGGGTTTACAGCACAATTAAACTTTTAGCTTCGGAGAAATCAATTTATCTCATAACAATATAAGGCAAAAAAAAATTACAAATCTCAGTTTTTTTGACAATATTCATGTTTGTGTATATGCATAAGCAAGCCAATCAGAACATTTTTAATGCAGACACATCATAGAGATTTAATAGTATAGATAGATAGATACAGATATGATATGATTCAGATGCGATCTATGATCTAAAATGCAAAACGATTAAATCTCAAAAAGTTAGTTATTGATATATCAACTAGCAATATACATGTAGCGGACAACTTAGTCGCCCGCTTGCAATTTTTAAATAGCACTTGACTTAATATGTAATATATTTACAGAATTCGATTACATTACGATAGATAATTATTCACTGTCAACAGGCTTCTCATAGTTATATTACTGTATTAGTTTAGGCTCTGTGCCTATTCTTTAACAATGATCGTGCATATTACAAGATCAACATATTGTTTCACAGTAGAAAATTTTATTCAGTATACAAGAACGGCACTTAAAGCCTTAATACGCTAGGAAATTAGGTGCTCAAATTACATTCAAGATACACGTGATGATAGATATGTGAAAATTAAGCATCAAAATGGTTTATGCGACGATAGACAGATAAAAAATAATCACCAATTGACATATAATATCACATGGACCAATCAAATCCAAGATTTTGCAGAGTAATGACATTTCAATTATCATATAACCATCACTCTGTAACATTCATCACTAAGTTCCTGGTACTCTGTAATATTCATCACTATGTTCCTAGTATATTTACTTTTGTGAAATTTTTAATTTCTAAGTAGCTAAATCGAATAGCAGGATCAACTTCTACAAATTAATTGCAATTAACTATCATATTTTTAATCAATTTAAATTATCACATGTATTAGAGTTAAATTAACTGATTAAAGATATTTCTTCTAAAAGTCATTTAATAATTTAAAAGATTAGTTGCTACAAAAGTTTTATCAACCTTTAATTAAATTCATGTCACTATTAATAAAATATAAATGATAAATATTATCTATTTAAACAGGTTGTCAAGAAGGAGTTCTTATAGCTGTCCTAAAATGAATATAATTATTAAAAAGGTAATCTTACTAAAATTAGAAAAAATCAAGCTATCTATTAAAAATGTTTTTTCAGATCAGCATTTATCTTAAAGAAAAAGGCTTCTCAAACAAGACATCAATTTCAGCTGTAGATAAAAATATATTCAATCAAAAAGTTTCTTCCATAGAGTGCTTTGACAATAATGCTAAATTATATGTCAGCCAGTACAATACTCATGATTATAGAGGAAATTAAAGACCAAAGCTCTCAAATATTTTAAAACTAGATGGAAAGAAACTTTGGATGAGCTGAAGTATAAGGATATTTGCTACATTAATTATGTTACAAGGATTTTGGAACCATGCTTAGTTTTATTTTTCTGTCAAATGGCAGAATAATGGATTAAAAGTATTAAGAGAATCAAATGATATGTCTACAAGCATTATGATATTCTTTCTGAGCAAATTCTAAATGACATAAGGAATCTAAAGGTAAGAAAAACAACAGATATAGCTAAAGAAATGTTTTATTTATATGATGCACTTTGATGGCATTTCTATTTCATTATTTTGAAAAGCAAGCTGCATGAATTTACTGGCAAGCAATTGAAAATATGGTAGTTAATTAATTAATTAATTATTTATTGGATTTTGTTATTTACCACAGTGGCAGAATACCACTAGTCCTTTGTACTACCTAAAACCACGTGATATTATATATATCAGCTATCGTAATTTCATATATTAAAAATACATACTATATAATACCAAGTATATATATACATATATACAACATATATACGTATGCATATATATACCTGATACCTGATATATACAAAGCTTACTCTACATAACACAAAGAAAACTATACATAGTAATACATGTAACCACAAAAAACTCTACGTATGTACGTACGTACAAGCTGCCATGTATTAATTATATTAGACGTAGACTGTATATTCTATATTGGCACTCATATATTTACTTACATATTAAAGATTACCACTGACATACTGTATTATATATTATACGGAACATCAATCTCTAAAATATGTACGTAGAAATAATAACACATTTAGGAACGCAAAAAAAATCTAGAATCTCAATTTACATATAGATAGTGTGCCAAGAACAAAATTAATATCGAACTTACTACTGTATGCTACTGAAACTTAATAAGCCAATGCGTTATTTCTTATTTATACATATGAGTTAATTGAAGTTTTTAGACTTCCTAAATACATAGTATATACTTTGCGATTTCAATATGCTATGTGTTATACTTTATCTTTTTCTATAAATGATAGCAACTCTAATTATAATTACATATATATCACTTATGCTATTTTTCTGCCTTACAATTTTTCTGATAATGTCCAGCATTTCCGCACTTCTTGCACCGACATTGATTTTTCATTACAGATTTAGAGCTTTTATAAGAAGACTTAAGTCTTTTAGTTCCTGGTGGCCGACCTTTACCTTTACGTTTCTTTGGGTTTCGTACTTGAATTTCTGTTGCGGGGTCATAGTTTTCTTTATCACTAGTACTGTCACCTTGTGAGCTTTCTTCAGAATCAGATAGATTATTATTATCCGCTTCTTCAATGAATTCTTCTAATAACTTAATGAGCTGTTGCGATTTAGAATAATTATCTAATGCTTTATTAAGTGCCTTTTTATACATTCCTTGCAATTTTCCATATACAATTTTTTGTTCAAGAATTGTCAAATTTTTCTCATGAAAATCCATTTTAGACTGATCAAAGCTACTTAAATATGGTACCGGTTTACTATAATTAGTTGTTATCATTTCAATCTCCTGCATAAACTTATCAGCAACTAAAAAAGGCTCTGATGACCCATTTTGTTCATTACAATACCATCGTGATGGTATAAGTCGAATGTAAAACTTTACTGTTTTTGTGGCCAACATTGTTTGAAAATAGTGCCGACATATGATTCTAGAGCGTATAATAGAAAGACATAAACATATATATCCATTGTTTTGCAGCAAAAGAACATAGTGCTTAGCTTGTAATGAATTCCCAACATTAACTGCTCATACATCTGTAACATTATAGTATCCAACAAATTTAATCATCTGATTTAAAGTTGTTTGTGGAAGATCAACGGTTGACGATTCATTAAACAGTGCATTCTCATATCCCTATTATTGTAAGCTTAACTATTAAGTTATATACAACCTAAAATATACAACATGAAATACACATTTCGAAATACATAACAAAATACAACTTGAAATATAGAATTCATTATTCATTTACTTCGATTAAGTTATCAACTTCATTCTGATTAACATAAGTTGCCATATAGTATAATGATTGATTAATTTCGTCCTGATTCATTTTTAACATCGTAGGCCCAAGAAATCGTTGTAAACACTTGTCAACTTTGGAAAACAGAAAATTCACTTTTTCTTGATTTTTAACAGATGGAATTGATAATCGCCAAAATCTGTATTCATTTTCTTTATCATGCCTATCAAGTAATTTGTGAATTTCTTTTACCAAATCACAGAGAGAACTATTTGAATTATGAATCAATCTTTTTAAGCATGCATTCATAGACTCGATTCGAGAAGTAGCTATCATTCCACCTGTAAAATTGAATGCAGTATAACAATGTGCCCAAGATTCTTTCGATTTATAAAGAAATTCCAGATAATGTTTGGCATTAGGATAGTCTACTATAAGTTTGTTAAATTGCTGTTTAAACCTTTCTTTATTAAGACAATCACGACAATTAAAGAATTCTGTAAGGAACTTTTGATAATTTTTATCTAAAGTTTTTTTTAGGTTTTTATATAGGTTCTGGGTTATATGAAAGGCATAATGAATCAAATATGATGAATCAAAAACTTGTCGAATAGCCGCATCAATGGCCGGATCTGCATCTGTTAGTATTACTTTAGGTCGAACCTTGGTTGCTTCAATAATCTTAAGAAACACCCATTTGTGAGATTCATAACTTTCATCAATTAAAAGTGCTTATGCAAGTAAAACGTTATGATGGTTATTATCAAAACCAACAAATAACGACAATGCCATACTATATTTATTAGTTTTATGTGTAACATCATTGAGTACACAGTCTGAATACTTAATCCAATATTCAACTTGTGCTGGTGTCATCCACAATAGATGAGTTAAACAATTTTCATCATCTCAACCTCTAGCTATAACCCAGCATGTATCATCACTTTTTTTTTGATCAAGCCAGTTAGAAATTCTCAATGCATCATCAAATAAAAATTTGTTAGTAGGCTTAAATTTTCGGATAACAGCATAGAGATCATTCGAATAAATTTGTTGTGAAGGATATTTTCCTTCAAGAAACTTTCTTTGTGCTATCGCACCAAATTTACAACACACAGTCATAAATTTCACATCTTCAATCATCTCGTCTGTAAATTTTTTTTCATCCCTAAATTCAATTGCATTACGATTCAATATATGATTATATTCATTAACTATTTTATTAACAATTATAGTCTCATCAGGATTGTTGGTCTTGGGACAAAATATATTAATCAAAAATTGGCATCGCATTTTTTGTGTACTAGTATCTTTCTCCGAAGTAGATTTATATGATTTACTGTGATTGCATAAATAAGTTCGTCGGCGAATAATACTATCCTCACGAGTAACTCGATCTTTAACTAAATAAAAACCACATCTTTTAGCCCAATCATTAATAAAATTTTCACAGATTTTCTATGATGTAAATCTTTTTCCAGAGTATAAAGCAGAATGTTCATTTTCTCGAGTAAAGAATGTATAATTCTCTAATAAAGAATATATAGTTATAAATATAGTGCCATAAAGCATAAATATCGCTTCAAATAATAAGATAAAATGTACCTGTTTCCATCATAGAGGATGGTGAGGATTCTTCTGGTAGACCGGAAGCATTAGACACATATTTTTCATCTGGAAAACCAGTGATAGAAGATTCTTCTAAAGAACCAGCAACGTCGGACACGTATTCTTCTTCTGGAGAGCTAACAGCAGCAGACACATATTCTGAAGAACCGGCAGCAGTAAACACATATTCTCCTAAAAAACTCATGACAACAGATATGTCTTCTTCTAAAGAACCAGCAATATTAAACACATATTCTCCTTCTAGGTAACTGATAATAGTAAACACATTTTCTTTATCTGAAAAACCAGCGATATTAGACACATATTCTCCTACTGGAGAACCAGCTAAGTTAAGCACATATTCTGCTACTAGAGAACCAGTTACGTTAGACACGTATTCTTCTTCTGAGGAACCAGCACCAATAAACGCATATTCTTCTGCTGAAGAATCAGGAACGTTAGACACATATTTGCCTTCTGTAGAACTAGCGATACATGGAAGCACATATTTTTCTGGAGAACTAGAAGAATAAATAGGACCATATACTCCTTCCGGAGAACCTAAAAGATCAATAGTTAGAACTTATTATTAACAACAACGCAATTTTTGTTCACAGAATTAGAATTAGTAAGCTCACACTTTTCTTCCATTTGACGTAAATTTTAGGCTTTTTTAGTATATAAGATGTGAACAAGCCTTAGGCTTGTTTTCTATATAGAGCGTCATATAGTGTGGCCCAACTTGGTAGGGTTTGCGAATAAGAAATCACTTGTTGAATCGTCAAAGTAATAAGTTATTAAAAAAAAATTTTATCGTTATTAGTATTTATAGGCAAGTATCACATGATTATACTGATCTAGGGACTTGCGGTAATCCGCATATGCGGTAAAAGATAAAATTCTTAAATATATTAAAATAAAGGGTTATATAATTTATCACACCTGCGTTGTAACGCATCCACCTAATCAACCAATCAGATTGTAAGATCAGGTGTAATGTGAAATCGAAAAAAATAGCAATGTTTTGAAAAAATCACTTGTAGCTCATAGGTTGGCTTATGAAACCACTCTTTGCGCTCTAACAAAAAAAATTCTTTGCAAAATTTTGGGTATAACTGATATGTACTTACAATCTAACCTAACCCTACATTAGTACTAACCCTTACTCTAAATTAAATGCGTTGTTTGTTTTGATTTTAAGTTACACCAAATCTTATGGGTGCGTTACAACACAGGTGCGATAAATGATAAAATTCAATAAATAAAACCTATAATGTAAAAATATATAAATATTTAAGCTATAAAAACTATAACATAAAAATATATAGATAATTTAAGATAAAAACTATAACGTAAAAATATATATTTTAAAAACTAAAAATAATTGAAAATGCACTCTTGGAGCAGTGCTTAAGTAGAAAGCTAATATAATTTTATATATTAATCACTCATTATAATGCAAAGCTAATATTATGATTATTAATTTTGAGATTTGATCATTTGATGTTGATTACTAATTTCAAATTTTATAGTATAACAAAAGCTAATCAAGATTTTTTAGATTTTACTATATAAATTAAATTTAAAACTATTAGTAACTTAAGAATAAATTATAAAAATAATAACTATATACTAATCTATTATCTATTTTAAAATTTAAAATTAGTATATATTAATAATAATTTCAAAACCTTTATTTCTTTCTGAAATACTATAAATTTAATTAATAAAAATTGGGCAATAATAGAGATTTTATTAGTATAAACAAGAAAAAATATTTCTAAAATAGATCTAGTATTTATATATTTATTGTAAAACTATAATTATATGTAATTTAAAAAATTATTTGTGTAGGATGTTTAACAAATTTGTAAACTTTTAAGTCTAATATTAAGTTAAAACTACTAATTAGAAGAAATTATTATATAAAGTTTATTGTTATTGATCAAACAAGCAAAAATAACCTATGTATATTATAAAACAAAAACATGATTTTTTAGAGCAATATAACTAATAATTTTTAAAAAAAGATCTAGAAATAATTGTTTACTCTATATATTCTTTGTAAATAATCATCTATTATATAATTGTCTGGAGTAAAGCGAAGGACTCATACTTCTATGCGCTTTGATGACTGAAATTACGATTTTGATGCATCTATAATAAAAAGATCAAAAAAGTAGTTTCGGCATTTTCTGTTTGTAACACCGCATGTCTATATTTGTACATTGTATAAAAAAAATTATGCACATTTACGCGTTTGTGTAAGATGACAATAATAAGCTCCGAACTTTAACCGATTTCCGGTTCCTAGTAATATTTTAATAATCTTGTAATCATTTAAACCAAAATGAAAAATAATTATTTTTTTTTTAGTGTTAAAGTGAGATCATAACTCTTATATCTTTATTAATTTTTAAGTTTGTACACTACTATACAACTTTGTTACTTATTTATTTATTTTTTTTTTTTTTTAAAGTGAGGTTTTGCCTTTATTTTTATTAATAATTTGTATTGAGAATCCACTATGGGTTCTTCTGGCCGAAGCCAATTTATAAAAATTTTTACAAGAATAAAACTCAGACTACCAGAAACTATCTAAACTAGAAATTCTGATTCATCTGTAACCTAAATCTACTAGAGTGGTTAAACTCACCTAAATTTGATAATATAAAATATTGTTAGTTGAGGTACTATATTTAATCCATGTAATAGTCCATGAGGATATTTTTCTAATTGCTTTGCCAAGAGGTGGACAAGTGTTATTGTTGTGTTGTTGGTCTGGCAGACCACAAAGGCAACTATAAGTGTATGATATTCTATATTGTGTTGTGTTTTGAGTAGTTGTTGTGTGGATATTTGTTGTATTACGGTTAGGTCTAGAGAATATATTGTTTTGTTGTTTCCATTGTGTGAGTTTAGAACAGTGTGGTATCTATAGCTGATCATGTATATTTTGTGATAGTTGTAGAAGTAGTTGAATAGTTATTTTTGATGCAATTTGAGTAGAATCTGTATACTCTCTTATAGTTTGTATTAGGGATGTAGGGATAAACCCTTGTATAGTTGTATATAGATTAATATTATTATACTGGTAATTAAATGAAAAGCTTGGGTGGTTTATAAGCTTGGTTTGTAGCTCATATAGTTGTGTATTAGTAATATCTAGTCTGGAGTGTTGAAGGAATTGTTGTATAGTATTGGTGATAAGTGTGTTTAGTTTAGATGTATCTGGGCAGATGAGCCAGTGTTCCTGACTTTCTCTTGAATTACATGTTATACAGATGTCTGTTGGAATTGTTAATGGGTATAGTGTATGTTGGTGTATTAAAGTAGAAAGCGACTTAAGCATTAGTTTAATTTTGAAAGTTTTTTGCTAATATAATTTAAAGTTGGTATAGGTAGTTGATCTTTTGTTATTTAAATATAACCAGGTTGCGTTCTAATTAATTTGAAGTGATATGGGTATAATATTATCCATTTGGTGTTGAGATGACCACATTGCTATAATATGGGCATTGCATATGTTTTTAATAGATCTGCGAGTAGGTTGTTCAAATGTATACTGTTCGTATTGAATTTGGTAGGATGGGTTATGTATATTGTTATTTATAAATTGAAGTGTAGTTGGATAATTAGCATTTTTAGCTAGTCTGTCAGCTAGGTTGTTGAAGGTA